TGCTTTGCTCAGTCACAGCTTCTGTGAGAGGCCACCAGGAGCATTTCTTCCTCTTTTTGTTGTTTGGTGATAGTGCTTCTGGTTGGTGCTAATGCTTTCGAACTGATGACCCTGTCCCAGATCGACCACCCCCTCCTGCGTCCTTCTGCCAGGCCCACACAATGGCTTGGACTCTTCTCCTCCTGGTGCGCATGGTCTCAGTTGTTGCATGAACACGGGTGGCTCCCACTCCCGGAGCCTGTCCTCAGCATCGACTTTCACTACAAGTCTCTTTTTCCCCGGAGCTTGAAGAGGAAAGGCCTTCAGAGCCTGTGAGCTGCGGAGGGGTCAGCGTGAGGCCCCGTGCCATGAAGTGCATGGGACGGTGCTCTGCAGATGTCCCCGTGGGCCGCTGCGCTCACCGCAGTGCCTCGGCCAGGACAGACCGATGTCATCCCACCCCTAAGACCTTGGAGATCTTGGGAGTCCAGGGAATCACTGTGGTTGTCTTCATGGTTCCCCACTTCTGTTGCGTTGAACCCTGTGGAAGAAGGGCAGACCGTGTAGACACGGTGCTCATCCACAGTGCTCCACTGTCCCTCTGCCTTCACTCCAAGACTTCTGATCGCTCCAAATCCCAGGCTCAGGAAGTGCACTCCTCTTGCCTCTAAAGACCTTTTGAAAAAGCAGGATTCTTCCTGACTTCCCCATCTGTCAGACAAAATGCTTAAAAGCCACCACAGATGGGGGATGCTCCAGCTCACCAGCACCCCATCAGTTATTTTGCAGAAGGACCAGCTCCCCCATGTCCTGCTGATGGAAATGTCTGGGCTGCATCCGCCTTCCCAGCCGGTCGTGCCGGGCACTGGCTGGGCTCGCGGCTGAGCCGGCAGGTGCTTGGTGGGATTACACCTTCCTTTCCTTTCCCTTGCACGCCTTGGCTGTTCATTCCCTTCGAACAGCACCTCTCCCCTCGGGTTGGATGGATAGGTCTCTCCAACCACTTCATGCTTCCCACCTGGGAGCTGGCTGTGCTCAGGAAACCAAATGTTGAGGAAACCACTGAAGCTTCAAGACCCTGTGGTGTGGTGTGAAGGTGGTGTCGAGCCTCCCAGGAGTCCCGAAGCCTCAGCCCCTGTTGCGTGCTGAGCACTGGAGGCATCAAGCAATGGTGAAGCAGCCAAGGCCGAGACCTGTGTGGTGAGAACAACCACGTGTGGGGTCTCATTATCAGTTTGCATTTCTGAACTTGGGATAACAGGAGAAGAGGGAATCCGCACTGCAGTGCCATCAGGTACTACTGCAGGTGTCCTGGAAGGAGACCGGCTGTCTTCTTGTGAGTCCCTGCACATATAACTGAAGTTACATCCCTATGGAATGGGGTCCTGTCCTGGGGAGTGTGGAGGACCTTTTTTACATCAGGCATCACAGCAGAGGAGATTCAGGCTCAGAGAGCGAAGAGCTCCTCTACATCACAGCAGCAGGCCTTGAGCGCGACGGCGCAGCCGGTGGTTCAGCTGAACACGTGCATGTGTTGCCATCTCCTCGATGGTTAATTGTCCTTGCTGCCTCTTGTCTGGTGTGAATGCATTGCTCACCTGCTGCTCCTTGTGCTCAGCTCTGCTGGATGGGGGGGCCGCAGGCTAGCAGGAATCCCCTCCGTTGTAGGTACACATCTTCGCGGTGAGCTGAGGGTGCCTGAGATGGGATTTCCAATGGCATCCATCCCTTGGTCTACAGCTCCTGGCAGTGCAGCAGCTCCCCCTTCCTGCAACCATTGTCGTGGAGCAGCATCCTGTGCTGGAGCCTGGCTGGTGTTGGTCTGTCTCTGGGTCTGGCTGGTGTGGGCTAGCTAAGCTGTGGACAAGTTCCAGAAAAGATTCTGGGCTCCTGGTCTGCTCTGCTTTGTGCTCGCCCATGGGACGGGGAAGCCAGGCCACTGCCCTGTTTCCAGCTTGCTCTCCGGTATTTGTGGTGAGATATTTAGGAGTCAGAGCCCTTTGAAACAGATTGTCCTCTGTGATGGGGCTACCCTGTGGCTTTGTGGGACAGATACGAGAGATGACTTCAGCTCCCGTGGCTCCACAGAGATGAAGCATCCTCTGAAACACAGCTTCTGCTCTCTTCCCCCCAGGAATCAGGACATGTTCCCCCCGCCCTGGCTGCTCTTTGCTCTTGTTGGTCGCGGAGCTCTTGGGCAGCAGATTGAAGAGCGGATCTTGACTTGTTGGGTGCTTGTATGCTTCAACTTAACTCAGCAATACTGCCAGTGTTTAATATCTTTGTCACACACCTTCTCTGATCTTTACATTGTCTGCTCAGTTATCTGTTTATGAGTCCTGGCTTCGGTCTTTGAAGAGTTACGCTCAGGTTGACCTCTGGAAACCTCAAAGTAGCAGAACCCTTCTCGTTTGCCTTGTGGCCTTTAGCCAAAGCTCCTCCAGCATTTTTACATCCTCTTCCCTTCCACTTCACGTGTTTCCCACCCAGCCTTCGAGGTTGCCTTGTGCCACCAGCACTGGCGTCCTGGTGGGTAATGGTCAGCCAGACTGGGATGCACTGCTGGGCATCCCATGCCCACAGGGGTTTCATCACAGGAGGTGGGGATCCGGAAGGGGCTGTGGAGTAGCACAACTGAGTGTCCCCCAGGGAATCCTGAGCACCCGCTTCTCTGCTCCCCCCTACAGGGCAGCAGCGCAGGGGTCGCCTGCCTGGGTGGCAGCAACCACTGGTCATCCTGCTGGGGTTCAGGTTTCTATCCACCATCAGGTCCACCTTTGCTGGCATTTTCCCACAGACTCCCAGGTGCCCAGAGCTGTCTCTGTCCCCTGGGCACCCTGGTGATGCTCACCCACACCGGCACCTGAGCATGGCTGAGAGCCCAGTGGGGCCAGCCTGCAGGTCCAGCTCTGAGCCCCCTCCTGGCCCTTGTCCCACGCTGCCAGCGCAGCCCCCGTGCTGCTCATGCCTTGAGATGGGCCCTGGCCCTGGGGTGGGTTTCTCTTTGCTCCCCACTTCCCTCCAGCGTGTTGCTTTTTGGGTGATGGAGCGGTGGCCAGCGGGGGCTTCCCTGACCACTCTGCTCTGCCCGTCCCTAGGAGCGATGAGGTGGTGGCCGTGGCCAGCATGAACTACGACCCTATCGTGTCCAAGGTGGCTGAGGTCCTGGCTGCCGGCAGGACCATCCGAAAGCGCGATGTGGAGTAAGTAAATGCGCGGTGGGAGCTGGCGGTGCCCGGGCAGGGGCCGAGCAGAGCCGTGGGGTGCAGGGCAGAGCTGAGCACCCCAAGGCAGCTCTCTGATGGGCTTTCCCTCTGCTCCCCGCTCCCTACCCCTCTCACATCTCTCTCCCTGCCCCACTCACGCTGTCCTCCCAGCGGCCTCCTGGCTGCCTCCGGCTCCAGCATCCCACACCCGGGGGCTTCGGCTTAAACACCAGGAGCCAAATCCCTGCACAGACTCAATGGGACAGCGGTGCTCGCTGCCCCAGGCGCTGGCACATCACCGAGGCAGCGCTGCCCAATGCTGGAGTGCCCCTGGGCACTCAGTCAGTCGAGGGGACCCACGGGGAAGGGCTGGCTGTGCTGCCTGTGCACAGCCTCTGCAAGAGCAGAGCCCAGCAACCTTGTGGAGCTGGGACGCCGGCCCTTGGTGCCTCGGCCTCTGGCTCCTCGGGCGTAGCTCACAGGCAAACTGCACTTTTCTCCCTTCACTTTAAGGCTTTGCACAGGACGCAGCGTGCCCCCACACCCAGAACTTGCTGTGCGGGAAGGCAAACGCCCGGGAGGTGACAACAGCCGGGAAGGAGCCTTTAGAGTGGGAATCAGAGCTGGGGGGGGGGAGTGTGGGTCCCTGTCTCTGGGGTGTTCCCACAGCTGGGACAAAAGCAGACTTCTCCAAAAGCTCGGGGAGAGAAGCACCCCCAGCACCCGGGCAGCCCCGAGCCAGCTCAGACACCCCGGGCACCCCAGGACAGGGAGCATGTCGAGGGTCCGCCCAGCCAGCAGGGACCGGGGCAGGGTTGTACCCATCGTCTCCAGTACAGCGGGAAATGGTTGCTGGCTGCCCAGTTTGGGGCTGGGAGGGAGGGTGGCAGCTCGTGGGCAGCCCGGCGGCAGGGGAGCTG